GGTTTCCAAGACAAAAAGGCACAGAAGTCAATTAGTTTATCAACAACAATAACAAATACTTTAAATGACTTTTAAGAATATCACATTGATGAGAATTCTGTATAGTGTTTATTATAATGATAAGCTTTTAATAATACACTAGGAAAGGAAGAGAATGGAGACTAATAGAAGGAAATGTTAGCAGCTTATATTTTAATACTAAGAATATCAAACTAATATTCCGTTGCAAAGTAGCATTTATTAACTTTAGTACGTGTTTTATCAATATTTTCCAAAATAAATAATGGGTTTCACTGATCCAACCTCAACTAACCCTATCCCTTTCCAACAAACTCCTTGATCTTATCAAGATATTCTCAGTGTTTTCCCATAAGAGTCTTCATCAACACTCACTCTCCAAACAGCCTTTCCATCCACCATCTGCCCAACTTGATCCAAACATTGATCTATTCATTTGTTCATCCTCCTAGCTACTTCTTTACCCACCTGTCTGTTTATCCATCAATCTATCCATTCATCCAACATTGTACTGATACAGTCATAGAAATACTGAGATAAAGACACTGCCCTAACAATTTGGTACAGAAATTTGTACCTCACAATGTGAAAAGTGCCACCAAAGATACACATAGAGCCACTATGGTAGTACAGTGAAAGACCTGTACTTGAAGATACTGAAACTTTCTAGGCTAGGTGCTTTACTGGCTCAATTTTTTTTTTTTTTTTTTTTTTTGCAGACAGAATCTCGCTTTGTTGTCCAGGCTGAGTGAGTGCCGTGGCATCAGCCTAGCTCACAGCAACCTCAAACTCCTGGGCTCGAGCGATCCTTCTGCCTCAGCCTCCCGAGTAGCTGGACTACAGGCATGCGCACCATGCCCGTAATTTTTTATATATATGTCAGTTGTGCCAATAATTTGTTTCTATTTATAGTAGAGACGGGGTCTCGCTCTTGCTGACTACTTGGGAAGAAGAATAGGAAAAGGTAGTGTTCATGCAGAAATAATGCCACCAAGGAGGTGACAGGAGGGGAGACACCGCCTTTCCTAATGCTATTTTCTCTTAAACTAGAACTCTGCCCCCTCCCTTCAGCACCCTCCCCACTCTGCCTAGCTAACTCCCTCATTCTTCTGTCTCAGTTCCCCCAGGAAACCGTCCTCGACCTAACAATTAATACTCCAGTATTTGCTATTCACTGTCTGAGCGTCCTGTACTTTCCTTATGAAACACCCACTCCTTTGTTCATTTATCCTCTCTTGCTGGACTGAAGTTGTGAAGAGCAGACACCAGTTCGCCTTCTTTACTCCTGTGCTCCCCGCTCACAGGCACTGACTGCTTGCTTGGCACCAGTAGGCGCTCAATAGTTGCTGAGTCATAGATGATGGGCAGGTTACTCTCCTGGACTTCACTTTCCTCCGCAGAGGGCTGCGGGCGGAGCCTTGTCTGCTGGGGGTGGGTCTCAGTGCTGGGGCGGGGCTAGGGGGCAGGACGTAGAGGAAGATTCGAAACCTGGTTGGCCCGGAGGCTGATCAGTCAGGACCGGGGGCGGGGCCGGGAGCTCCTTTGTCGTCCGCGGTTGGGCGCGAAGAACTTGCTGCGGCTGTGGGGCACCAGTAAGCGCTGGGCAGCCGCGGCCTCGCCCGCCTCCCGCGCCCCTCCGCGACCTCTTGGGCCTGGTCGCCGCCGCAGGTTGGGAAGTGGGGCGGGCGGGGGGCGCTCTTAGTTGCTTAGTTACCGCCTGTGCTTTAGGTTTTAAGTTCCCCCCCTGACCTGGTGTTGCTCAAGGTGTTCCCAGGCAGGTACCGAATAAGCTGTTCATTGGGAACAGAACTTTGGTGGAGTCAATGCGGGGATATGAGAAAACATACATAAACAGAAGCCAGGACTCACTCCATGTTTGTACTTACATTTTACCTCTCTTTTCCCTCACTTTCCTCCCGCCTCGGGCTGTAGGTAACGTCAACTTGTTATATTCCGGTGACAGAAGCTCCCCATCCAATTTAGAAGCAGCCACTAATGCCCCCGAACACGGACCACAGCTTAATTAATGCTACCGGTTAGAAGTACGTAGTTGCGTGTAATTTCCTCACGGGTAGTTCAAACTAGAGATTTTTAAATTATTACTAAATAATTTTAATATTAATCTAAATGTTGCTAAGATTTTTTTCTATTATTACTAAATGCAAAGTATACAGGAGCAGAAGTTGTGGGAAAGAAAGATTGGATACGTACCTGACAATTTACTCAGTATTTTACTTTCTTTGAAGCAACTAAGGAGGTCTGTGGCTTCTTGCCTTGAATAATAATTTACTTGGCCAGGTTGCTATTTAAAATGCTTTTAAATTTTAAAAGTACATCTGTGAGGAGAGGTCTCCATATCTTCCATTGAAAATTGGGGAAAGCAGAAAGAATAGAGAGTGTACCTTTGAAAAAAGTACACCCAATTTAAAAAAAAAAAATTTAAGTATATAGATAGATAGAAACCTAGCAGCATTCTTCATAGGATTTGAAATCGGAACTTAAGGAATGACCATCTGCCATCTCTTCTTTGTCCACCTCTTCATTTAGCACTGATTGTTCATCTTACATTCTAGTCAGGTCAAATTATAGTTTCTCCAGACTCATTTTACTTTCTTAGATCTTTTTGCCTTTGTACAGTGTACTCCTTTACTTTCCTAATGTTTATTTTGTCTTCAAAATTGAGCCAGTAAAGCACCTAGCCTAGAAAGTTTCAGTATCTTCAAGTACAGGTCTTTCCACTGTACTACCATAGTGCTCTATGATGCTTATCTTTGGTGGCACTTTTCACATTGTGAGGTACCAAATTTCTGTACCAAATTGTTAGGGCAGTGTCTTTATCTCAGTATTTCTATGCCTGTATCAGTACCAATGTTGGATGAATGGATAGATGATGGATAAACAGACAGGTGGGTAAAGAAGTAGCTAGGAGGATGAACAAATGAATAGATCAATGTTTGGACTCAAGGTTGGGCAGATGAGTGGATGGAAAGCTTGTTTGGAGAGTGAGTGTTGATGAAGACTCTTATTGGGAAACACTGAGAATATCTTGATAAGATCTCAAGGAGTTTGTTGGAAAGGGATAGGGGTTAGTTGAGGTTGGATCAGTGAAACCATTATTTATTTTGGGAAAATATTGATAAAACATGTACTAAAGTTAATAAATGCTACTTTGCAACGAGAATATTAGTTTGATATTCTTAGTACTTAAAATATAAGCTGCTAACATTTCCTTCTATTAGTCTCCATTTCTTTCCTTATCTCTAGTGTATTATTAAAAGCTTAATCATTATAATAAACACTATACAGAAATTCTCATCAATGTGATTATTCTTAAAAGTCATTTAAAGTATTTTGTTATTGTTGTTGACTAAACTAATTGACTTCTGTGCTTTTTGTCTTTGGAAACAACTATTTTAATAGCAACACACTTTTTTTTTCTGTAATAACACCTTACGTGTGTTAAAAGAAAAACTTAAGACAAATTAAATTTAGCAGAGTTTAGAGGAAAGAACAATTCATGAATGGGGCATCACTTAGAACCAGAAGCGGTTCAAAGACTTCTGCTCAGCAGTGTGAGCGGCAAACTTTATAGGCCCAACACAGAAGCAGCGTAGAGAAATTACATGATTGGCTACAGCTAGGTATCTGCCTTATTTGGGCACGGTCTGATCAGTTGGCTGCCCGTGATTGGTTGAAGCTCAACTGTTCATGATCAGCTGAAACACAGCTATTTGTTAAAAAAAAAAATACTACTCCTAATTTAGGCTTCAGTTTATATACTAGCTTAGGTTCAAAATTATTAGTAGGAGCTCAAAGTACAAAAACAGCCTCAGGCTAATCATCTCCTGTTTATTTAACTTAACACATGTGTAGAACTTTATAAAACTTAGAAATCTTCTGTGTACACAATTTCATTTGATTTTTATAGCAATTCTACAAGGTTACTTGATATTCTTCTCACTTTATAGATACAGAAACTGAGACTTAAAAAAATTATGTGGTTTTCTTATAATCACATAAGCCACTGTAGTAAATAGAGCAAAACTTCAATCTATTATACAAAGTAATTTAATTTTCAAATTCAATTAGAAATTTTTTGAACTACTATGTGCTGATTCTATAATTAACGAGGTAGGTATTCAACAAATGTTTACTGAGGAATGAGTTTTTCTGCATTGTGTCTTTACAAATTTCTAAAGGAGGCACAAATTGTTTGATGGGACCCAGGGCAATAATGGAAATGAGTGAAGCACCAGGTTTAAGCCAGCAGGGTTGGAGCAAACTGTGAAGAGTATATGGCCTATTGTTATGATCTTGCACTGGTGAGGTGTATTTGATCAAATGTGTATCCAGGCACGGTTCTGAACATACGAAACAAGAGCCTCAAAATACTCACAATAGCAAAGCAGTGTACCTTTGGGAATTAGAGAGACCAGCATAGTGCTAACAAGAAAAGCTGTGTATGTGATTGCAGAATTCTACAGGCAGTCTCAAATAAGTTTTCCCTTGGGCTGTATTCATATTTTCTGCTTTATTCACCTTCATATTTTCTCTCTAGCAAGCTATGAAGAGTTTGTAGGAGGACATTATTATCCTTGCTGACATTAGCTTAGGACAGCTAAGGTTATGTGTTATCATGCCCTTTTCCTTCCAATAACAAATGACTTTAAAAATAGCATAGCCTGAGATCTACACCAAGATAATTAAGCTCCTTTAAAATTTGACTTTTCCCCAAATTTAATATATCTGACTATATTTGTAATTCATGCTGCTCTGAACTTGAATTTGTGATTATCACCTTGAGTCTATATTAAAATAATTACCTAGTTGTATTTATTATCAAACCTCTTAGAGTTAATCATGTTTATTGCACCAATCTTTTCTGAAGGAAACGTAGGAATTGTCTTTCTTAGTCTTAATTAGGAAATCATAAGATGCAATTCTGAGAATGGAAATTATTTTCCCTTGCTTAATAGGACTGATCCATCAGGTTTATTAAACAAAAATATCTCTTGATATCCCATAAAAATTTTAACTTTACTGTTAAATTATCAGGTTATTAAATATGAAATATCTGATTTATTTAAGTACTAAATTTGACAGTTGATATCTCTGACATTTCATTTTGACACATCTGGTTTTATTTATTTATTTATTTATTTATTTTTAATTTAATTTTATTTTTTTTTTTGAGACAGAGTCTCGCTTTGTTGCCCAGGCTAGAGTGAGTGCCGTGGCGTCAGCCTAGCTCACAGCAACCTCAAACTCCTGGCTCAAGCAATCCTCCTGCCTCAGCCTCCCAAGTAGCTGGGACTACAGGCATGTGCCACCATGCCCGGCTAATTTTTTTTTCTATATATATATATTAGTTGGCCAATTAATTTCTTTCTATTTATAGTAGAGACAGGGTCTCGCTCTTGCTCAGGCTGGTTTCGAACTCCTGACCTCGAGCAATCCTCCCGCCTCGGCCTCCCAGAGAGCTAGGATTACAGGCGTGAGCCACCGCGCCCGGCTTGGTTTTATTTTTATTGTGAAGGTACATCCTCATTCTTTCTAATGAATGGTTTTGCTTTGATTATCTTTCAAATTTTTTTGAGCAATTTTTATAAAACCATAGATAAGTAAAAAGTTCGAGTTATTTTCAAATATGAGTTTTGTCATAGAACCAATGCAGCGCAGACAGCTCGAAATACCAACGAAGAGTTTGGGAAAGGATGTGGCTAATGAACGCACAGTACATCCATGGTTGAGAAGTTCTGTTCTGGTGATTTTAATCTTGAAAATAAACCATGTAGGTGACCTGAGACCAAGGTGGGTAATAATGAGCTGAAAGCTGTAGTGGAAGCGAATCCATCTCAACCTACACGTGAATTAGCATCAAGGTTTGACGTTACTATTCCAACAATATTGGACCATTTAAAACAAATAGGCAAGGTAAAGAAGCTGGATAGATGGGTTTTGCATGAATTAAATGAGCATCAGAAGAGAAATAGCCTTGAAGCTTGCCTTTCTTTGCTGTCATGATATAAAGGCGAACCATTTCTAAACCATGTTATGTGTGATGAAAACTGGATTCTTTTTGACAGTTGCAAGCATTCAGCACAATGGTTGGATAAAGATGAAGTGCAAAAACACAATCTAAAAACAAATATTCATCAAAAAAAGCTAATGGTGTCTGGTGGTCCAGGGTTAGTATTATTCACTCCAGCTTCATGAGACCTGGTCAATTGATTACAACCAATTGGATGAAATGATGAGGATGCTTGCAATTAAGCAGCCAAGATTGGTCAATAGAGACAGGCCAATCCTCTTGTAAGGCAACACTCCACCACATGTGGCACAAACAACGCTGGTCAAACTACAGAGCCTGAACTTGGAAACACTCTGTCACCCACTGTATTCACCAGACCTTTCACCAACTGACTACTTTTTCCAGGCTTTGGACCACTTCTTGCAAAGAAAAATACTCAATTCTCAACAAACTGTGGAAAACACCTTTCACAATTTCATCACCACTTGCTCTCAAGACTTCTTTGATGCTGGCATGAATGAGCAAGCTACCATTAAGATCACAAAACTGTGTTAATAGTTTAGGCGCATGCTTTGATTAATTGTGCTGCTTCTTATTTGAGATATAATAAATCACAACTTTTGATTTGAAATTGAACATTTCATATTTAATGACCTAAAATATATAAGGATATTCTATTAAATAACAGATCAGCTTCTCTTTTTAACTTCCAGTTCTTCATTTTACATTTTTGAGGGCAGAAGGGTTTTTTCTCCTCTGTTGAAAACATACTTTTTTTTCCAATTGCCTTGCAAGTTATAAATATTATATTAGTTTACTAGGGCTGTCGTAAGAATGTGCCACAAACTGGGTGACTTAAACCATAGAAACTTATTGTCTCACAGTTCTGGAGCCTAGAACTCTGAGATCAAGGTGTCTTCAAGATTTGCTGCTTCTGAGCTCGGGGGTGTAAGGGACAATCTGTCCCAGGCCTCTCCTTGGCTTGTAGATGACTATCTTCTCCCTGTGTCT